AGCTGGAGTCAGTGAATTCTTGGCATTTTTACTTAAAAGATGATTTGAATGTTTGAGTTTTCTTGTAAACAAAGTTATGTTCAGTGCATTTCCTTCAACACAAAAAAAGAGCCTTTTTTAAAACATTTGGGGGGGGGGGGGATTCTGCATTATTCCCAGCCATGTCCGAGAGCTGGCATTGATGTTTGATGGCCCACTGATACACTTCTTAGTGCATTATCTCTGTCAACTGTCAATTAATGAAACACAGTGAAACCAGGACAGGATGTGAATCACTCCTGTGCACGATACAAACAAAACGAGGACCCACAAAGTGTGGATTTTAGCATTAGTAGTTGTCAAAAGCTGCACAGGAGGGAATTAATCCATTACCAAAATTGTTGCAGATGAATTTTCGGTCAACTGATTAATTGGTTTATTTCCACTCTAAACAATGTATGAACCATAGCACACATATTTTACCAAAATGCTCTTTTCGCCACAAAAAAGTGATGTTACATAAATTAACAACATACACAGGCAAAAGACACTGATATTTCCACAGCTTCCTATAGTAAGTCCAATCTTGTCCTTACCAATATAAGAAGGCTACCTCACAACTCCATGGAGACAAAGACAGACAGAACGAAAGACAAAAAAGGAGGGAAAACTAAATCGATTTCTTGATGATGTGAAAGCATGCAAATTCTGGAAGAGAATGAATTTGATTTTTCCTCTCAGTTAAACTGAATAAATATATCATATAACATATAACATCCTCAAAAGTTTAACATTGTGTCTATAAAAACTGGGGGTGGAAGACAAAGTGGACGATAACACTGTTTGTGTGTGTAATTGTGTGGCTACTGAGAGTGTTTGTCTGTTACTCTGTTTGTCTCTAATTAGAGTCAAATAAGGGAACAAAGTTTCCACAGGAGCTTCCAGTGCAGCTGGCAGCTGTTCACTTCATCACATCCAGTGTTTTAACCACACCTTTGTCTGTGTGTTTTGGTTTAGGTGAAATGGTCTGTCGCATAAGTGACAGCTATCATTATCGCTCCCATTGTCTCTGCTCTCCCTCTAATCCGGCTAATTAAACCAGCTAATGTCAGTATACAATTTAATCTGCAATTATGCCTGATTGAACCAGTACAGTCTCGCTATCATTCCTCCTGCCAGCAAAAACCGGACTACTGACAAGCGAGACAGACAGCCAGAGTGAAAGATGAGGCGTCCTTCACTGAGCGATGGCCAAGAAACACATTCGCTTTGACAGTTCATCTTTTCCAGTGTTTCATGTTGTTCACAGACAGACACATTCTGTCCATCCCAAGCGTCTAAGTGAGAATGCAGGAAAAAAAAAAACCCATGGTGAAGGCACAGGACACTAGCTCTGATTGTACATGCAGAGTGGTAATTACATCTAAATTGAGGGCACATGGTAATCTATGTTAGGTCATCTCCAATTCTTCTTACAGTTCCAGATTTTGGACTAATTAAAACTAATAATCAGAGCCTGTGTGTGAGAGAGGGGGAGCGATAGATTGTGCCTAGGTAGGCATATCTTTGAGACAAGCCAGTGGAAGAATCTTCTACATTCACATTCATCTCATCACACTGCAGGAAAATTAGGTGCGCACGCTTTTATTTTAACAAGGCAGGAGAGTTTAAGAAGCCTTTTTTAAGAGAATGAAAGAAAAACAAAGTGCTTCCACAGCAAAAATGTTTTTAGATTGCATGTGTGTTTAATTTAAAGAAACACTAGAGCAAAGTTAGCAATCTATGTTAGGTCATGTGAAATGATCACTTAGTCTACAAAACTGACAGATCTTTCAGGGCTGCCTCTCCACCCTATGACAAATTGAAGTGAAAAGAAGAATTTGCTATTCTCAGAGCCTTTGTCCTTCGAGGTGGTGAGAGAGAACAGAATATGAATGGGGGAGAAGGAAAAACACTTCAGAAAATAAAACAAGCTTTGAAAGGCAACTGGTGCAATATAACCAACTCTGGCATAAATACTGGATGAATGCCAAAAAAGAATACAGGGTAGATGTCAAACGGAGTAGGGCACAGAGACACCAGCCACCTGTTTTTCCACACAGTACACTCTTAGCCAGGGGTTATACTTAGCCCTGGGCTGATTTGGCTCAGGGATAACAAGCACCAATTTGTCAACTGCAAACAAAATGTGGAGATACTAGTCAGTGCTGGAGAGATCCTCGGCACTGCATGAGCAACTCATTGGTTAAAAAAATTTAAATAATAACTCGTGCAACCTTCACTTTGATAATCATGATGAGATTTGATCTTTTGCAAGTAAAGGTAAAGTAGGAAATTCCACAGCTACACACCTTGCACCTAAAGTATCCAAAATCATCCTCGAATTTGCCTGATGACCAAGATTTTTAATATTGCTGTTTGCATTTTTAGGATGTTGACAAGAGAGAAGAAAAACAGAGCAACATTATCAGAGTTAGTACTAATATTTTAGTGTTGAAATATTTCCTCACAAAGCAACAACAACTGTGTGTAGAGCTGGATCTGGTCTTAGCATCTTAACACAGAGAAAAAACCCTCTAGTAGGAACTTAACCATGACAAGAAGAAGGCAAGTCAGAAGAAAAACAATGTGTGTGGGTGTGCACAATGCAAAGAAAACTGTGAAAGGCCACGCAGAAACATCCTGCAGTGACTCAATTATTCAATTTTAGATGAGGAGAAAGGGTGCAGATCAGTGAGTGAAAGGCTCATCCTCATGTATGACTGATTAGGGGAAAGAAAGACAGGAACACTGTATCGCAAAAGCCAGCAGAGAGGAGGAGAGGAGAGAAAATGAGGTAAAGGAAAAAGAAGAAGAGGAGAGAGGCTTTACAATGTAGCCTTGAAGACACTAGTGTCCCTTGACGGTGCAATTTATAGCACACCAAAGACTGAAAAGCCCGACTCAATGCTGTTTCCTGGAACCATACATTTAGAGAACAAGGCGCGAGCCCACACAGTTGTCCCAGAAGTGTTCGATGATTCATTTTTTGCCTGAACCTTTCAGAAAACCTCTTTTCCACGTTGCCTTCTTATAGCTGGTCTATGATGAACAGCTGACCCAGATTGGCATAAGATCCTCAAAAGTACAGCAGGTCGAGTCAAGTTCTTCACAAGTGATCCAATTATTATAAATCATTATCGCTAACAGCCATGTATCATTTGTCATCAAAGCCTACATCAGTACAAAAGCGTAATATCACATGTTCAGCAAAACTCATTTGGAGAATGAAATTACAACCACTTTCCTACAAAGCAACAAAATCAGTTTGCTTTTTTCTGAGAAGAGTTGGAAGACAGTTTTTTTTTTCCAAGCTGTCAGAGAGAATAAATGACCTCTGAGAAATGGCGTCTAAGTGTTTCTGGGTCGTCTTAATTCCTGGCAAACTTAATGACAATTTTAGGCCAAGCAACCAGAACACAGACATAACAATTCCCACATACGCTCAGCCCATTTCTCTTCACCCTAATGACAGGAAGCTAAAATAACTGCAACAATCTCATGTTTGAAAAATGAAATGGATACTGCTGCGATGAAATATCAGCAGCAACATTAATCTCTCACCTGGTGGTAAATGCTAATTTTGTATAAAATTTAATTGATTTTAATAAACTGTTTTAACAAACTGAGTTACTGTTAACAACTTAAAGCAAAGTAGAAATAACAGGAAAAAGGGCCGAAGCACTGGTAAAAAAAAAAAGGGGGGTGTAAATAAAAGAGGGTTAGAGACAGACAAGCCAAATGATGATTTATGTTCTTTTTTGTACCAGGATCCAATACTAAATGAGAATACAGCAAATGTAGCTGTGATCTGGTGGAGGATCAGCATTAGTATCATCAAGCTGTGTCCTACAAAAAGCAGCAGCTGGCAGGTCGTTTTCTAAAACTGGAAAACAGTGACATCTAGTAGTGGTGTAAAGGAGTCTGTCACTTTCTTGTGTTTTGATTAAACAAATATGATGGGGGAAAGTGAAATGATGTACAGAACAAAAAACAGCTGTAACAATGATATCAGTCATTAATCATTATGCACTAGTTAGTAAACATATGTATGCATCCACACATTTGCATAAACATGTAGGCAGTGTTAAAATGAACCACATATCCTCAATGATTAATGATCTACAGTAGTTTTGAGAAAGTATCTTCTGTTCATTAAACTGCAGATGTATGCACTAAGGACCTGTGATGCCTGATCAGACCCTCATCCTCATGGGGAACCCAACGGATTAAAGGCCTATTCTTAAATTTCTTGACCATATAAAATTGAGCTAAATTCACATAACTGTGGGAAATGTGTAATAATTACGAAAGTCAGCTATAGTTTTTGTCCACTGATCATATGAGTCCATTTCAGATTGATACTACTTACTAAAGCAGAGTTTTGAATTTAGGGAATCTTTCTTTTTATATTCAGATCAAAAGTTGCAACTCCATATATTAAGTTTCAATCATAAACTTTACATGTGTTCCTATGTTTACAATGCAGTGCATCTACTAAAACAATTTAACTATGATGAGGAGTTTCTTATGGCAGCTGCAGACATTATTCTGGCAAATCAAGAGTGGGTAAGAAGCAGCACAGGAGAGAAGAACAGAATGACAGCTGAGACAGAGCAATTAGACCAAAATGAATACATCTGTAGAGCAATGTAGGTGTTGCCTGACACATCTGGAAGCTGCTAGTGCACTTATTGAATGAAGGTGCACCAGATACAATATTGGGCTATATTCATGCATGAAATCTTAAACTCTAACACTGCAATAACCAAAAATATGAAATGCAAGAGATAGGGCCACAGTGCCCTGACAATATTCTTAAAACCCCAGAATAGCAGCTACATCTCTGAGAGGAGATGCCTGTATGAGATGAACACTTGAAGATGTTCATATTGCTACACAGAGACACACAACCAAAACCCTGAGGGGAGCCAGGAGAAAAAGCACAACACTGAATATGAGACCAGAGGTGTGAGACTGACCATTTTGTTCTCTTGCAAGTAGAGTCTCTGCAGTTTAGGGCATCCTCTAGCCAAGGCCACCATGCCTTCATCTGTGATACTGTAGCACTGGCCCAAGTGGATGTCTTTCAGCTCACTGCAGTGCTCTCCCAGCTGAAGGCAAAAAAAAAGAATTTCTTGAATATTTGCAATATAAAATACTGGAAATATTTGCCTGAAATATGACTTCACCTTTCATTTAGAAATAAAAATGGCAAATGAGACAGGTGTATCCCAGACAAGCAAAGATTAAGATACTCAAAAAAAAGAATTGTTTGGTCTTCTGTGTCTCTATTCTGGCTTTAATACCTGTTTTAGGGATTCATCTGTTAGTTTGTCCTGGTTGCCCACATGCACCTTCACCAGCAGAGGGCAGTGTGTAGCTAAGGCTGACAGGGACATGTCACCCAGCTGCTTGCAGCGGTAGGCTGTGTACTTCTGCAGGCCTGGACAGTGTGAGGCCAGAGAGGACACACCATGGTCACGGACGCCTCTGCAATCTGAGATATTAATCTCTGTCACATTCTGTCTACGAGAGGCTATTTTCACCAGGAGATCATCATTTACCTGAGGAACAGGGTACGAGAAGGAGAGATGAAAGTCAGTTCAAATAACAAAACTATGAGATAATTATGAAGGTTAATGAGAATCCTTACTCGTTGTAGGCCACTGAGGTCAATTTGCTTCCAGAACTGGAAGTCCAAGCAGAGGTCTCTCCAATATTTACAAACCAGTGAGGCACACAGACAGCGCTCTTTCACTGTCAAGTGAGAGAGCACCTGCAAGGAGGCAAAGAAAGCTATAACATAAAAGACAAATCCATTCAGCATGCATATTTCCAGTGTAGTAAACACCATTCAACACTCATTTGTCAAAAGAAATAAGAGCAAACATAATAAAAAGCATATTTCCTAGTATTGGCAAGCCATGGCTTAGTATTTTTTCATCTTTCATTGTGCTAAACCAACAGAAAAACAAAAGTAAATATGAACAAAAAGCCAATTAAATTCACCCACCTTAAGAAGGATGGAAGAAGGCAAGTGGTTGATACTTAAGTAATCAGCAGCATCAGAACTTCTCGCCTGGCAATTTTCATAATGGTGTAGGCAGCAGGGGGACGAGTCTGAACTGTGAGGCAAATCAGCATGAAGACCCAACCCGCAGAAGCCATCGGCAGGCGAGGAGGAAGAAGAGGAGGCAAAGGAGGCAGAAGAAGAAGAAGAGGAAGAGGGAAGTGGACAGAGAGGAAGGTGACAGTGGCCAGTTTCAGAGTTTGAGGCAGCATCTACTCCACCTTCTCCCACTCCTCCATTCCCCAGCCCTCCATCAGGAGCAGTGAAGGCACAGCGCGGCTGCTTACATGGGGTGCATCTCTGCACCTCTGAGCACTTTCTCTTACACACCTGTAACCAGAGATACACATGGATCAGCAAGGTGGAACCAGATTTTCTTCAGGCAAGTCAGAACATATTTGAACCTTAATCCTTAAATTACAATTACAGCATGAAAGACATAGACCACTCATAACATTTAAACAGTAAAAGACTAACGTGCCTGATCTTGTAACCTCAATGGAAAAAATAACAGGGACTACAAAGTGTAAAGCTTCGGCTTGTGACTGCTGCAATTGCAGACTGTGTAATTCTTGTAACTTAAAACATATGGACTTTGTTGCATGATGTATTTGGGAATTTTAGATTTTTTGGACACAGTAATCTTGTTCACTATTCTTCACTTATTTAAATTGATACATACATTTGTAGATCAGGACTGAATGTGCACTTTAGGGTCCTTGACGTTTTGTGTTCTCTTAACTTCATAGCACTTTTACGTTGGAACTAGCAACTTAACACTTTCAGCACTGTTCTATTAAATATCATCAGTTGGGATGCCCTCATTAAGTTAAGGTCATGGTCAACAAACACATTTTAGTTGATAGCTTTTAGTGGCCTTTTGGAGGTAATAGACTATTAGACATAAGTCATTGCCAGAAATATTTGTTAGTGGTGTCAAGCATCATATTTTTCAAAAATATACTTTGGTCTTTAATAAGAGTTTAAGAGCTCCTTCTGCATCTGTGGAGGGACAGATTCTTTGAACAAAATTAATTAAAACCTTTAGCTACCTATTAGTATACTTTAAGTGAAGACAACTCTATTAACCATTAGCAGGAGCGCTGGTAAATCATGGCTGCTGAGGCCATCAGCACAAAATTAGATCCATGCTGTAACTTCACCAGCTACACTCTTTGGTACTGGTGGTGCAGCACCCCAGCTACCCAGTTACATAGTGGCCTACCATCTCAGTGTAGTCACTGGTGCAGCCAGGCACAGGCACAGGTATGGGCAAAGTCACAGACACCCCAGCTGTTCGAAACAGTGACGGAGGTGGAATCAGTTTAGCAGGAACAGCTGATAATAGGCTCCTCCCCTGGCCCTCCCAGATGGCTAGTTCCCTTGGTGACAACAGGAACTTGGAGCAGTCCTCAGAAGATCCAAGTGTTGCGTATCGCTCAGCGAACTTCGAGGCAGCTGCTGCTCCAATGCCAATTCCACCCACAACAGGGACACTGATTCCAGTGATGCTGTTGTGACGGCACCTGCTGCCGTTGGCACCTCCTTCCAAATGGTTGTCGTCGTCAAGACCGCTGCTGTTGCTGTGTACAATAAAGCACAGCATGCAAGGCCCCTGCAGGAAACAGTTCCTTTTCTTCTTCTTCCTGTGATTCAACTTCCGTGTCCTTTTCTTTAGGTGGTAACCATTTTTCGAGAGAAGATGGCCCATATAGATGATTCTGGGAAACTCTAGAACAGCAACAGTAAATTTGTTAGTAAATGCAACATTCAGGAATATTCTCAGGAATCAGAATCCTGCAAAACTGGCTATAACTGTTGGTAAGATGCTGGTATCAAAGCAATACTATGTTTTCGTGCAGATACAAAAGTTGACTTTTAATCTGTTATTTGTCAAAACAAGCCAAACTTCTAAAACTTGACAGTGTTTAGTGTCTTAGCCCAAGTAGCCATAAAAGAATTTTACCTAAATAAAATACAAAACTGGCAAAGTTAATACTGAACAAGATCTAACAAAATATTCAGTGAATGTTCAGTGCTCGACAATTCTCAGTACTCAACTGCATTTAGATCTATACGCAAAAACTACAGAGGACCAATACCCAATCCCTGAGAATTGCGGGGATGAAAAAAAAGATTAGTGTTACATATTGAAAAAATAGGTTTTCACAATCATTTTACACCATGCTTTAAAGTTAACACTTTACAAACAGAGATAAACAAGTGAGGGAAACAGTCATGGTAACAATATTCTCTTAGAATAAAAAAAGAATGTATATGCAAACATACAAAAAAAAATCTTATCTGTGCAAACAGTGCAAAAGCAAATCATTCCTATCTGACTATAGTTAATTCTTTTTATTTCCTAAAGTCTCAATTATTGCAATTTTTCTATGTAGAAATCAATCAGACAGTCTCATCAAATAATCCTATCAATTCCAACATTGGTCAGTGCTTGTTGTTTTTAAAGGTGCTCTATAAATCAGCAGATTTCACTGTTGTTGTTCACACTAAAAGCACTAACTTCAGAGGGTACCACTCAATTTTCCTGACTCACACTGCTGAAGCATTTTATTATTCACATTTTATTTTCTAGCTCAACTTCAGAATTCATTTTTGTATAGAACAAAGAGTGTGGATCTTGTCCCTGATCACATAGCCTATATGAAATCATGTTAGAAGAAGATCTTTTCACAACCAGTATGAACCAGAGGAATAGCTACAGCAGCAGTAACTCTTAATCTACAATACTGTGCAAACATTTTGGATGCTTTAGATGACCTCATTCTTATCCATCATGCAATACCAACAGAAAGGTGTCTGCTGTGTCCAATATTCATTGTGCAGTGTAAAACAAGCCCAAACTTACAGCCAGAATCATGACAAGAAGAACAAGTATGGCCTTCACAGAGTTCTGATCTTAACATCATGGTGTCAGTCTGGGATTACATGAAGAAACAGAAGATACTGAAACCTTCTACAACCACAGAAGAACTGTGGCAAGTTCTCCAAGATGCAGACACAACCTACAGTCTCATGCAAAAGTTTAGGCACCCCTTGATAAATAACAGATTTTGGTGATTTTTTATTTGAACAGATGTTAACACAGTCTTTCTTGGAAATGAAAAAAATGCACAATATTTTCAGCAAACAGTGATGCATAGTTACTTCTTATGCCATAAATTGAACAAAAATAAAAACATTATTATGGCCCGGTGCAATAGTTTGGGCACTCTAAGAGTTCCAGAGTCTCAGAAACTCTCACAAGGTTTCAGACCTTAATCAGTTCATTAGATCTGATGCACAGCAACAGCTGTCATTAGTAAATGCCAATTTCAAAGCCGTACAAATACTCGGACTCTTCAAACCTTGTGCACACATTTGCGGACACCCAACAACCATGGGTTCCTCTAAGCAGCTGTGTAAGACCCTGAAAATGAAAGTTATTGATGCCCACAATGCAGGAGAAGGCTACAAGAAGATAGCAAAGCGTTGTCAGCTTGCAGTTTCCACAGTAAGAAATGTAATTAAGAGATGGCAGATCAGGGGAACTGGGGAGGTCAAGATGAGATCTGGAAGACCAAGAAAACTCTCGGACAGAACTGCTCGTATGCTGGTCAAAGACAAATCAAAACCCCCATTTGACTGCAAAAAACCTCCAGGAAGATTTAGCAGACTCAGGAGTGGTGGTGCACCGTTCCACTGTGCAGCGATGCTTGCACAGACAAGGCCTTCATGGAAGAGTCAGCAGAAGAAAACCGTATCTGCGTCCCCATCATAAAATCCAACGTCTGAAGTATGCAACAGGACATCTACAGAAGCCCGATGCGTTTTAGAAACAAGTGCTGTGGACTGATGAAGTTAAAATAGAACTCTTTGGACACAATCAGCAAAGGCATGTTTGGAGAAAAAAAGGAGCAGCATTTCATGAAAAGAACACCTTGCCAACTATTAAGCATGGGGGTGGATCTATCATGCTCTGGGGTTGTGTTGCAGCCAGTGGCACAGGAAACATTGCACGGGTGGAGGGAAGAATGGATTCCACTAAATACCAGCAAATTCTGGAAGCAAACATCACACCATCTGTAAAAAAGCTGAAGCTGAAAAGAGGATGGCTTCTACAACAGGACAATGATCCTAAACATACCTCGAAATCCACTATGGAATACCTCAAGAGACGCAGGCTGAAGGTTTTGGAATGGCCATCACAGTCCCCTGATTTAAACATCATTGAAAATTTGTGGGTAGATCTTAAAAGAGCTGTGCATGCAAGACGACCAAAGAATATTACAGAACTAGAAGCCTTTTGCAAGGAAGAATGGGAGAAGATCCCAAGTACAAGAATTGAAAGACTTTTAGCTGGCTATGAAAAGCGTTTGCAAGCTGTGATATCTGCCAGAGGAGGTGTTACTAAGTACTGATTGTGTAGGGTGCCCAAACTTTTGCACCATGCCATAATAATGTTTTTATTTTTTATTTTTCAAAGTACTTAAAATAACTACAATACCTAGGAGTTGTTTTAAATCCAAAAAGGTGGTCACAAGAAATACTGTTTTAATTTAGGTTTTCTCTCTTTACTTTTGAATAAGTTACTTGACAAATGAAACCTGGACCTATTCGAGGCATTATTTCTGAAAGCATCCTTCTTATTTTTAATGCCTGAACCTTTTGCACAGTACTACATATAATAACATGAGTCTAGTATTAAGACTGACCTGAAAAAAATGTGAGTCTATCCTTTAAGTGTCAAGGACAATCAGTAAACACCTATATATATTTTGAAACAGCCAGGAACAGATATGATGCTGAAAACAGACTGATGCTAGCCAATACTGACATTACACTCTTATCTGGTACACATTATCACATGCACAACACTGTAAACATATTTCCCTCGGGGAGTTTATTCATCATCACTAAACCTACAGTATATCCTAGCCCGAAACACGGGAGAACAGCGCTTTACTGCGGTGCTTATCCCTCTGTCGAAACCATTTTACTTGTATTATTTGTGTTAATAAGACATTTCATACTACAGTCATGCAGGAAAACATGCATCGTCGAGTTGTTGCCAAGTGAAAACACACAATTGTAAATAGCAAACAGGTGGTCATTGGTCTAGCATATGCTGACACAAAGCAGTCCTAATGCTGTGCATTGGCTGACGTTTCAGTTTATATCTAACATTTGTTGCAACTTAACAACCCATTTACACCCTCATTCAGAGGAAAAGAAGACTTGGCTCCGTTGCTAACCAGGTTCAGCTTTCTGACAGGGTATCCATCACTAGCTGCTAAGTTAGCTGTAGCTTCAAAATGATATATCTCTCACCACTTGACACGGTGCTGCCACACCCCGAATGATACTCGCATAATACTGCTATGCTGCGCGATCGAGATGAGCGCTGACAAGTGCCGAGAGAAGCGACACGGACAGAAGAAACCCCACAACTGAACTAGCGCTGTGTTTATCCAAACAGTAGCAGCTCTACCTCTGCTGCTGTTCTGCTCTTCAGGACGTCACTTCCGCACCGAGGGGGCAGCGGGAAGGAAGCCGATGAGTACAATTCGTATGTCGCGTTGCTCTAATCAGTAAACAAGAATAGCACATAATTGAAATGTAAGTAAATTACTTCAGACTTATACTTGAAATTTTCCCCCACTGGGCTCAAGTACATGCATGATTATAATTTTTATTCTATTCCATTCTCAGATCCAAAATTGGTTCAAAGACGAGTCTACAAACAAAAATTGAAATACAATAGTAGCCTACTGTTTGCAGTTATTTGATACCTTCATTCAGAGGAAAAGAAGACTTGGCTCCGTGCAACCTAGTGCAACACTCACAGGCAACTCAGACAGTGATTATTATGTTAATATGTCACGCTCAAATCTCAGAACGCACTCTGCAAATGATTTCCAGCAGCAGGAGAAGGGGGCGTGGTCTGGCTGCACGGCACCTCCCAGAACAGCAGTCCGATTTCGGAAAGCCATAGGAAAAATGTCTAAAATTGTTTCACCGATAACTCAACAAGTAACAACACAAAGTCGGGAAATTGGGACATCTTCTGTCGATATTCGACTTGAAGACGTCGAAGACTGTTTAATTTACGACAGGCATGGCGTCTCTCTTCTGTTCAAGAACTTATATCAAGACAGGAAATCGGTCATCATTTTCGTGCGGGTACAGGAAAAAACTTTGTTTGGCTTGGCCTTCCTGATGAGTTAGAGGCTGTCTGAGGTTACACTCCTAAGATCATGAGTAGACTGAGCCTCATAAGAGGTTTCTTTTTAAAGCAGCTGCCTGAACAAGTTCCTATGGAAATAGAAGAATGAAGAGATCATGTCCATCGGTGAAGACAGAGGGCTATAACATTATATAGGTGTAAGATGGGAGTTTAAAAATCTGTGTGATCTCTAATTTAAATATAACCTATTAATGCAGAATATTCTGTTTGTCTCTGTAGAATTTCTTGTGCTACAGCTGTAAGGAATATGTGGATGATCTGAGTAAAATACCTCGAGAAACACTGGAGGTAAGTCCTGATCCGTGACTATGGCTGCACAGAAGTACACAAGTAGCCCAGCTGCTAAATTTACACGTAATTTAGGTGTACTATTTTAGTCATAACCAAATAAGTATTACTCTAAATTACTGACTGTGAAAAATCCTTGATGTGTGGTTTTGCAGGATGCTGGTATTAGACTGGTTGTGATTGGTCAGTCCGCCCATCATCACATAGAGGTAATCGTAAATATCAGTGGCTGGTGCATCTTTTTAATCATTGCTGATTCAGTTTTCAGTGTCCAGTGGAGAGGTAATGCAATGACATTTTATTCTGATGCATATTTTTAAAGCAGACCTTTTATTGCACTTTTGATGCAGCCATATTTGTTGATTTTTACACCCTCATCCTAAAAAATAAACAATATCTTACTCAGTTTTTGTCATTAAAAGACAAGCAACCCCACATGAACTTGAACACTCTACAGGTGAAATATGCCTCCTTTTCTGTCATGCAGCCATTCTGCTCACTGACAGGGTATCCTTATGAAATATATGTGGACCCAGAGCGATGCATTTATCAGAAGCTTGGAATGAAGAGAGAGGAGAAATTCACAGACTCTGGTAATGCAATAACATTATTAGAGCAGTATGAATCAGCTTACACCAGAATTCTAAGTAATGAAGTAATGTGTTTGTGTGTGTTTATGTACTCAGCGAACCCTAGTCCACATGTGAAGTCTGGTATTTTTATGGGCCAAATGAAAAGTATATGGAGGGCCATAACTAGCCCTGCATTTGACTTTCAAGGTGACCTACATCAACAAGGTGGAGCCATCATTGCAGGACCAGGTAAGATTTCCTCCCCCTCTCTCTCGCTTTCTGTTTCCTTATATTAATTTCTCTTTGTGTTAAATACCTCTTCTCCTCCCTCATTCTTTCTTCTCTTTGCAGGCTGTCAAGTTCATTTTTTCCATTTTGACATGAACCGCCTGGACCACATGCCCATTAACTGGCTCCTGCAGCTTGCCGGAGTTCAAAAAACTCTGGACTTCAGCACTAAGCCAAAGATCATCCATGTGTAGCCACCTGACTGCCTAAAAGTCTTCCCCAACCCATGCTCTTGTTATCATGACATATACATGTGTTGCTTGTTTACTTATGCCACCATTGTCCACTGACAAACTGCAAGAAGAAATGTTTGGGCAGCATCATTATCAGTAACAAATGTGTCTTATTTCTGAGTCTGCTGTTTATCATTTCAGTAGAGCAACTAGACTGTCTTGCCAAAATCTTGACATATACATGGTGAGTGGGGAAACTTTGGAAGGTTTCCTTTCTAGCTTTTCCAGAGCTGGCAAGTAGCCTGTGTTTCATGGGATAATGATAGTCATCCTGTTATTAATATGAGTAATTCTGTTCCCTACCTGTAGTAAGATGGGTACATATGAATGGCTCGTGATAACTGGTACACAGTTTGGCCTTTTAACAGAATCTTCTTTTAATATCCATTCATATCCAGTGTTTATTCTTGCATTGTAAATAGTCTAACTGCCATTTCTTGGCTACATTTGTACACACTGCCATGCATTTTTGCATTGTCATAGCATAGTCATAACCAAATGTGATCGTTTCAGCATGCAGAACTCCCATTCCCAACATATTTATCCATATATACAGCTGCTGCTGTTGAACGGTGAAGGGTGGGCACTGGACATCTAATCCTGATACGTCACTTGCAGGGGATTCAGACAGCAGAAACCTGCCCCTGCTTATAGACGTCACCACCACCAGAGTGGCTGGAGCTGGCAACTGTACCTCAGTTGACACACACGGAGCACACGCACGCAGATAAACAGAGATCAGCAGCAGCGCAGAAGCAAGACATGACATAATAACACAGAAAGACAAAACGGGGAGAAGCCGCCGCACTGCGAGGCGGAGGAGCTCTGTATCAGCTGCACAGGAATGTCCTCCGTGCAGCCGTGAAGAGAAAATGAAGCGCAAGAGCGAGCGCAGACGAGCCGAGTCGAGGAAAAAGCGCTGTGCAGCTCACAACAGCTCAGAGGCGGAGCCAAACTCTGATATTTACATTGAGATAACAGGTAAGAGGTCTCCAGAATGGACCCTGTCAACTTTCGGCCTAGTTGGCAAGTATGTGGAGACGAACGCCTGCTTGTACAGAATTGGGTTTTCAATGATCAGGGTTTGTGAAAGTCTTTGATTTTGTTCAGCTTTTGCCTTATTATGGCGACACCGTTAATGCGTCGACTTACTTCTGCAGTCGGTACACGAAATGCATCACATTAGCAGCGCAGTTTTGCTCTGGTATTTATTTTAGAACTATATATATTGCAGTCGAACTTAGCTTTGTCTGTATCATTTTGTTTTATGGTATATGTGCGAGTTATAAATGAGTATAGAGAGATGGGCTGGTGTGTCATACTCAACCAACTGTCAGTGTCGTCTAACGCTGGTTTTAGTATCTTTTATGGCCTTGTCCTCGTTTTTGTATATCATTCAAGAGCTCCCGTTTGAGGGGGGGAGGTTCGTTGGAGTGGAAATCACAAATTTGACTGGCTGAGGGTTCGTCCTAGCAACCGCTTGGGCACCGTTCCCAAGGCCTATCGTGTGTCTTATGTACAGAACTTTAAAATAAAGAAGGCGGGGCAGAGCCTAACTGGCACCTTCTTCCTCCAATTATATAGCGTTCTGTTTCTCTTGCAGCCAATAGTGCTCCGTGGAACAGTTTAGAGGGCGGAGTTAATAGAGTTCATTTTAGCAGTGTGCGCATTTGCAGTCGTAACTCTCCCCTCCCTGACTTGAAACTTTCTCTTCTTTGACAGTCAAGTCAGGCTCAGTCCCCCTTTCTCATAACGGACTTTTTAAATTACAAGTTTTATCTTGGATTCTAATCTGTTCGCACATTATTAGTCTTAAGTTTTATTCGGCATGCGTTAAATCGTCGTAAGAAAATCAGCCTACGTTTCTGTGCAAAGCGTCGCGTTCAAAACTGTGTGCGAGATGACCGCGGGTGATATTTCGACCAGATGCATTGTGTTCATCCAGGGTAAGTTTCCAGAACAGAGAAATCAAAGTAGTATCTGTAAACAACGACAAGGTGGTTTGGCGGAAATAGGAGACAACAGAAGCATGTATGCATGGTAAAAGCAAGTTAACGTTACTGCCTTGTGTCGCCCCCCCCCTCCAGATCAGCTATATTTCGCCATACTTCAGCAAAAGATCAAGAGTACAGCGGAACGACACTGTTTCTGCATCGATGAAGAACTGGCTTATGAGAAGTAAGTAATCAAGCTCACCCCACCTTTGCATTTCGAACAGACTTAGTTTAGTCCATTCTTATTGCACTTCTTTGAATGTAATTAATGTAAAAACTATTTGTTTGTTTTTGGTGTAGTTATTGAGATTAGGACATTTTTAGAGTACTGCTGGAAGAAATCCAGATAATTACAACATCATTAAACACATCGAATCAAAGGTCCTGTTCTGATTAACCAACTCTAGCATCAAATATTTCCAGATATGGCCTTTACTCTGTCAGTCTGAGGTAGATCATTCTGTCTAGTGAAACTTCCCACAGAGAGCAAAGCTGGTTGCATAAATAGCCACTCTGACAGACTCTTTCTTCTTCTTTCTCTTCCCCCCCCACAGTTTCTATGCAGACTTTGGTCCCCTTAACCTGGCCATGTTTTATCGCTTCTGTTGCAAGCTGACAAAGAAGCTCAAGGTAAAGTAAACGGCTCTTAACTGCACTTCCTGGAACAGAGAATGGGAAGCAAACCCAGGTCAATCAATATTTATTTAAACCCGTAATAGATGGGCAAAACATAGGGTTGTTAGTTGCACACTACTTAGCAGGAATTGTCAAGGTTTTGTACAGCTTAACTTATATCCCTGATATTCTTTGTGTCAAACGAGACCACTGTTCCTCTTTGTTGAGGTGGTTTGTCTGTATTTAATACATAACGTGAACTTCGAAGGCTGTTCACTTTTTTTTTTCAGACCGTTTTTCATGAGAAATTTACATTTTCATCTATCACTGTAAGTATTACATGTCAGTTCACGCTGTTGGTATTAATGTCTTTTCACAGTCCATTACACTCTCAAGGAAGAAGATCATATTTTATAGCTGTGGAGACCCAAAGAAACAAGTCAATGCTGCCTATCTAATAGGCTCATACGCTGTAAGTAGTGTACAAACACATATATTACATGTATTATTTGAAAGTATAATTTATCTATATAACTGGTAGATAATCACAGACTGAAATGGCTTTAACATTCTGTATAAGATGTGCTTGCTGATTGATTGTTTTTGAAGGTAATGCATCTAAACATGATGCCAGAGGAAGCCTATAGTCTGCTTGTGTCAAGGAATTCAACATATATTCCATTCAGGTACCAATTCATCATAAATATTTCATGTGTAATTTGTTCTTACCCAAGCAACTATGACTGAGCCATAGCAGAACATACCAGTTTGATTTAAAAACACAAAGTAGCCTGACTACCTTGTAAATGACCAGTGACACATTACCAAAAAGTTATCACATATACACAATAAGTCTTTCAGTAGAGTTGTTGCTGCATCTGCCTATTGACTAAACCTGATGATGTGAAGCAAAATGTCTGTCTTGTTAAATTCTGTAACTTTTAAAATATTACAGTAAATAAAATCTAAAACATGCGTATTGCTCAGACCTGACTGCAACACAAGATACAAGTCAGTATTACTGATATAAACTAAAATAAAAGACATTAAGAGAAGCTTGAGAGATTAAAGGAGTTGAGGCCGGTAGATGTAAGATAGCGCTTTAAATCGTCACCAGCAATTTTTTATTTCTTACAGTTTTTTAAAGGGTAAATACATTTTTTGTGTGCTAGGTTCATAAAGACTGTCAATAAAATTTATGTTTAACAGAGATGCTTCATTTGGAACCTGCATGTACAACCTGAACATCCTAGATTGCCTTCGTGCAGTTCACAAGGTAGATCATTTTGAGATCTTTGCATTTTTCCTTCTTGCTGTGTGATGCCCTTAATGAAACTAATTCCTCTTAACCATCGTTCAGGCTCTGCAATACGGCTGGCTGGACTTCTCCAACTTTGACGTGGAAGAATATGAGCACTATGAGAGAGCAGAAAATGGAGACTTAAACTGGATCATTCCAGGAAAGTTCCTTGCATTCAGTGGACCTCATGCAAAAAGCAAAATAGAGAATGGTAACTGAAAAGGACAGCACAGAACTGTGGCTGAATTCATTTTAACACCTCTTACACTGACATGTTTCCTCTTACTCAGGGTATCCCCTACACGCCCCTGAAGCCTACATTCCTTACTTCAGGAAACACAACATCACCACTATCATCCGCCTCAACAAGAAGATGTATGATGCCAGGCGTTTTACCGACTCCGGCTTTGAACATCACGACCTGTTCTTTGTGGATGGGAGCACACCGAACGACTCCATCGTCAGGAAGTTCCTCAGTGTCTGTGAGAATGCAGAAGGAGCCATTGCTGTCCACTGCAAAGGTAAGCTTTCTCACCCACATTCATACTGGGAGAAACTGTTAATATTTTAAACTATTCTGTCTGATTGTGGTTGGTGCAAGATACTTTTACTATGCATGTAGCTATGGGCTAGGCGATTAATCTGATTTGATTTTCAATTATGATTTTGGCTTCCAGTGATTATGAAAACAAAATAATTGAGAGAAAATGATTATCATGCCATACTCCATTTCACAATGATGCTCTCGTTGTCTTATGTTATAAATCCAGTGCATCCCTTCGCTTCAGTGCCAGTGTGGTTTGCTCGCATCAGGTGAAGTGAAACATTACCGTGCAATAATACCTCAATAAGATTGATCTATCAAAACACCTGCTAAATGAGCATAAACGCACAGAGAAGTGATAATTTCAACTTTGCTTACAGTCTGTCATCCACCGCAAGTGTGTGTTAGCCAGCTTGTTAAGCTAATTGTTATGTAGGCTTACTGTTAAACGAGAGGGAGAGAGATGGGTGTGGCCCTAGTAGCTGTATAAACTGAGCTCAGTATCATAGTTATTGCACAGTAAAATGCTATACCACTGTTTCTGTTTTTAATTCTTTTAGCCGGACTGGGGAGGACTGGTACTCTGATTGGCTGCTACATGATGAAACATTACCGCCTGACTGCTGCAGAGGCCATTGCCTGGATACGGATCTGCCGACCAGGGTCCATCATTGGGCCACAGCAGAACTTTGTCGAAGAGTAGGTGTTCACTGAAGCAGAATTTTCAAAATGTCGCTGATTTTATTTTTTACAATATTAAAAATCTGTGACTAAATAAGCAAAAACCTGTAGTTAAAGTTGAAGTAAAAGAAAACATTCTTGGGTATATTTACAAAGGGTTAGAAATTCAGCTAGTCTGCATCATCAGAACTGTGTGGGTGTGATTTGATTTGATTGACAGTGCTGACAGCATAAACAGTCAATGCCACAACTGTCACCGCATTCAGATGTTGCCAAACTCTGATTGGTACATGGAAATAAGTGACATTATATTTTCATTTCAAATCAGATTTGTGAGAAATGGAAGAGGGGAAAAACAAACACAAAAATCTCTTGTGTGAAATCTGTGTACCTCAGGAAGCAGAACAGTCTGTGGGCAGAGGGAGACATTTTCCAGGAGAAGATGCTAAATGAACGAGAGAATGGCAAGATGGCTGTAACCAGGATTCTGTCTGGAGTGGATGACATAACCATTAACGGAAGCAACAAGAACAGGTCGTCCAAGAAAGAAAAAATGGAACTGGTGAGTTTTAAAATGCTAATTTTAGGATTATCCGGTTTTTCCATAAGCAGAAAAATTCTAATCACTCACAAGGACACACACAGCACTTTGCCTGTTCATAGCTTTTTCTTTGTTGTACAGTATAATGACGAAGAGGACAGAAATGGCCTTACACAGGGTGATAAACTGCGAGCCCTGAAGAGCAAGAGGCAGGCCAGATCGACTTCAGATTCACTATCGTAAGTCTACAGGCAGTCTGCAAGTCACATCATGCACCACACTGATGTGTACTGTAAAATGAGCGATGCCTCTCCTCATCAGTTCCACAGACCATTACACATACACAGTGGTGTTTTTCAAATCATGATTAAATTATGGTTTGAAAAATTATGATTTTCATAATGACCAGGAAGTGCCCTTGTAGGAATCTTTTATCACATTTGTTATTTCATTTGATGAGTTTTCTTTTTCCCCTCAGTGTTTATTCAGAGTAGTACATCAGGAAACAGGTTTTTAGGCATGGCTAATCAGTTAAGACTGCTCTCCCTTACCCATACCGTGGCAGTTTCATGCTAATATCATAACTTCTCTATGAGTTAAGGAACCAGGCATTATCCCTGTAATATTTCAATAACTATGACTTTGTGTGTTCTTCTAGTTCTTTGGAATAAATGTCATCACATGCAAAACAAGTGTAAAAAAAAAAAAAAAAAAAACAGTCAGTGATGAGGATGAACAAAAAGTCTGTGAAGTAGCAGGTCAAATATTAGTGAGTGAGGTCCAGTTGTTTGAAAGGCCGGATTGGAGTTATTTGATACATAATCTTGTTAAGGGCTGAATTTAGAAAGGCACAAAAGATGTGGAAGTTAAAGATGCAATGTATTGGTTTGTTTTCATGCGGGATTGTTAATCTGTAATTTGGTTTCTTAAGTCAAAATCTTAAAAATAGTGTCCCAGGGGGAGAATACAATGTAGAACTTGCTAGTCACTAGGTTATCATGTTGTCTAGATGGCACATTTTGATTTGGTGATGGTTTTAATTTTCAAAAAGTGATGCAAGACAACACAGGTATATTAAGCCTGTCGCGGTCTACAGTGTATATAGCGCCTCAAAGCTGTGTGATTGAAAATGATATAGCTTTGATCTTGTACTTTTTTTAAACCTTTATTAAACCAAAAAAAAATTATATTGAGGTTTACAAACTCTCTTTCAAGGGAGCCATGGCAAGACAGCAGCACTGTACAAAGAGAGTTCTCCAAAAGGATGCATTAGGTCTAAGTGTAATAATGAAAAAAACAGACCAATTGCATTGCACTTGTGTCAAATCAGAAACCAAACTGACCTTGATTACATTTGAACTGATGTTGTGGGCCAGTGAGCAAATGTACGGTTGCTGCAGCTCTAAACGATACTGCACACCAGACATGGGAACATGTAAATCAGTTTTTAAAAGGTGATTTCCCTGTTTCTCTGTAAATCTTTTCTCTACAGTGATAGACTGTGACAGGTTACTAACATGTCCTTATGCCTTTGCAGACTTGGTCATTTAGATTTTGCACTAGTATATTTTTGCGTGTAATTAGCATACGAGTATGGTTGGACATATTTTTGAGAACATACCCTCTCAAATATTTGGCAACATATGACTAGCAAGTTCTTTGGAAGCAGTGGAAGGTGCTAAAGCTAACCTCCTACAGTTATCTGAACAGGCCTTTTTTTGCTTCCCCATGTAATTAAAGTGCACATCATTTGTACCTGTGTAAATCAAGCAGTGGGTATCAGCATTGCTAAGGGTGGCTGACTAGCCTCTGCCAATCTACCTATATGGCTTTGGCTTTTGTTGTCCCATGTCAGGCAGGTGTTAGTGTTCTGCTGCAGCCTTATGGGTACGGTGTGGCCGGTGTGTTGCCTGCCATTCAAAAGATAGCAGACAGAGGCAGTGAAAGAGTGGGGGAAAAGGAAAAACAGAGAGGATGTGAGGTTATGTATAATAGAGGTAAGTGCACGCCACTTCCTTTTTAGCTGACATCCTCCTTCCTGTAGAAAAATGTTGCTATGCCAGTGAATGGTATGGCTGATTTGAAGTTGGTCTTTTTTCTTTCTTTCTTTCTTTCTTTCTTTCTTTCTTTTTTTTGGATGGTGTGAAATGGATATGCACTTAGTGGATGTGTTACATTTACACACCTTTCGCTGTCGCCCCCATGGACACTGAGCTGTCCTGCTTAGATATCAAGGCTTATGCGAGATATGCTGAGTTTCAGTAAAGCTTTAAGTTGAGCCTGCTGTACTTGTTAACAGCAGCACCAGTTATTCAACTAATCAGTTTTACTTGAGATCTGGATTAGCTGAATTAAATATTTTCATGCTTCGCTTGCACTACAGATCAAGAAAAATGTTATAAAGGTAAACTTGTTCTGATCTGCAACAGGTACCCACTTGCTGTTTGGTAAAGTAGCTAAAATGCCTGCTCACCCTTTTAAGCTGCTTTTGGAAACTGCCAATAGTACAAAGGTGTTAGAATCATCTTTGACTGGTATGTTTTATGAGCTTAATGAGTGGCTGTAATTGGCATTGCTTGGATAGTAAATGCACCCTGATCCTCATTCTAATATAAAGGATTTGAAAACATTCACTTTTGAGGGAATGAACATGGGATTTCATTTGATTTCAGAGGAGAGTTGAGGTAGAAGGGAGATCTGGCTGCACTTCAGGCCATATCTGTCAGTGTATGTGTTTCTACACAAACAGTCTTAACCTCTAGCAGAAGTTCACCATCTGGCTCCACTGTTTGTTTTATTATGTAACATAATGCACTGAAGTCCATGTTGAATTGCAGGGACGATTAGAACACTGATTATATGAAAACTTTTCATCTCTTCTGCCTTTTTGTGCATGGTAACGGGCATGAAACCCTTGGACATGCACGCATGGACATGCCTCTGTGTTCGTGTCTAACATGTAATTAATGTTGGGGTCACTGTCAGTTGCCTGTTGTTTTTCCTTTGTTTTTGTGACTGGATCAGTGTACACATACCATCGGAGCTTTTTGCTCCTTCAGGTTTCCATCTCTGCCAGCTTCTTTTGAAATCGGTTTTTAATGGACACTGTAATTCTTGTCAGAACTGACCATTTTTAGACATGTTTTATGAGCTAAGGATTAGAGCCCAGTTGTTATTTTAGTAGACAGATATTAATTGCTAGTTGTATATCACAGATATTGTGCATCTACTGAAGCGTACTACAGCAGAAATTGATTAACTTTGTTTTATATTGTCCAGAATTTAACTAGCTTCATGATTTAAATTTTAGTTATGTTTACCTTAGAAAATGTAATGTCATATCTCCCATTAGTATCAAGTTTGTCAATGTAAAATAACTTGCCACACTATTTACTGTCACACATTTTAAATACTGTAATTTATCCTTACTGCCAGATGTGAGTTGTTGTGTAAAATGGAATATCCACTAGTATGTTATGTTTTTTTTTTTTTATTCTCATATCTTACTTCAAAATAACAATATCAGTTGGGTTCTAGGTATATTCTTGTTTACTGCTTATATATCATGAACAAAAACAACTTGCTTACTGGCAACTGTTGGATGCAAGGCTCTATGAAAGGTGTTTAATCTAATCCAGTCCCAGTGGAAAAGTGGAACATCAGAGGCTTTGTGTCCTGCCCAGACGTCTCTTGTCTCTCCTTCCTTTTTCCCCCCCTTTTTTCCGTTTGCTCTTGTTGTTGGATGTGTCCTCCTTTCAGATGGCTGGTAGCCATGCTGCTCTCCTCCCTGTGTAGCCTTGCCCTGTGGTGGATTGTGTATGGCTTCCCTTCTTCCATCCTGCATTTCTGTATAGATGGGTTAGGATTTCAATGAGCTCTACGGCCCGTCAGCCCCCCAAAAACCTGTCCTGCCCCCTTCTGGAGCTGTAACTGAGAATGCTGTAAGTGAGCCCCCGTCTCTATAATTCCCAACCCAAATCAGAAAGTTCTTTAAATCATCTGTTGCTTTATATTTTATGCAATCAGAGTAAACTTGAGCTGATGAGCAGGGGGAGTTGTTCAAAAGCTAAAACATCACAGGCTCCTGCCTTGTCCTTGTCATCATTTTTTTTTAGTACATAATGATTTTATACTATGGATTTGTACCATGGATCATCCTGTCATTAAACATCATGCTTTGCTGGTCATTGTGTTGATTGAAGTGCCAAAGTTAAAACCCGCTGTCAAAGTTAAAACCCTCTGACAGTGCCTTCTTTATGAAAATTATTCCGTGAAAAGCCAAATCAAGTCCCTCGGATGTTTGGTGCCACCACCTGGCTTTTTCTGGTACTTGCTTGGCTTTACTAATGCTACCTGGCTGCTGAAGCTGCAATTGTTATCTGTGTACAAATCTAAAGTAACTGATTTTTAAAGCCTTCTTGCCCATCTCCATACTGTCTTTTCCTCCTCTGCCTCTCTTCTCTCTGTATTTTCTCCATATATGAAGCTTAATTCACATTTTGCACTGCTATGTTACTTGTGTGTTCACAGACAGGAGGAGAATAAGATACATACCAGGTCCTCATCACAGTCCCCAAGGTAAGGTAGTAACACACACACACCTTCACTTTCACATTGACCACACTGGCACACCTAAACATGGTTACGACTTACCCAGACACCTCTCCTCTATGAAGCAGGGTCATCTTGCAGGCCAGTGTTCAGGGCTGTAAGACCAGTGTCCACCCCTTGGCTCTGTCTGACCACGCAGACAGCAGGAAGAGGAGCAGAACCTCACTGCCAGCCAACAGAGGAGGAGCGAGGTTAGCGGCTGGATTTGACACTCATTTACTCTGATAACAGATTTATAATTTTACTTACCTAGGAAGATTTCAGAGGCCTTTCTGTCTCTGCAGTTGAAAGCTTGGTGTGCAGGTGATTTGGTCAAAATAATAGAATTTTGTACATACTTGTAAACAGTCAAGCCCTCAGTGATGGCCAAGTTTTACTTTCTATATGATCAGGAAGTGTGTTGATGCTATGAAAATGCATAATTTGTTTTAATGTGTTATTATGAGGGGCAGGCAGTTGACAAGCAACCAAGAGGCTATAGCCATTCACGGATCCTTGTGGGGTAAATTAACACTTCCCTTCTCTCTGCCAGCTCACTCTACCACACCAGATTGGTCAGGTCCCTAGGCAACTTGCATGTAGTGGCTGGT